GATGGGGCCGGATGGGAAGGGGCTGGTGAGAGCGCTGGGCTGATCTGCAACTTGCCCCCAGGGCTCCCACTTCCACAGCTCCCGGCGGGAGAAGTATGGGAACGTCTTCAAGACCCACCTCCTGGGCCGGCCGGTGGTGCGAGTGACTGGTGCTGAGAACATCCGCAAGATCCTGCTGGGTGAGCACACACTGGTCAGCGCACAGTGGCCCCAGAGCACCCAGATCATCCTGGGCTCCCACACTCTGCTTGGCTCCATTGGTGATCTGCACCGCCAGCGCCGCAAGGTGAGCCTCACAGCTGTTCCAACAGCACACACAGCCCAGGCGGCACCTCCTGCCCAGGCCTGGGCCTCAGTGGCACATGGGACCCCTCACTTTAACCACCTGCCTCTGTTCCCCTCCCTTCTCCTAGATCCTGGCCAGAGTGTTCAGCCGCGCTGCCCTGGAATGCTATCTGCCACGGATCCAGAAGGTTGTGAGCTGGGAGCTGCGGGGCTGGTGCATGGAGCCAGGCTCCATCGCAGTTTATTCCTCCGCTAAAACCTTAACTTTCCGCATTGCAGCTCGGATTCTGCTGGGGCTCTGCCTGGAGGAAAAGCAGTTCAAGGACCTGGCCAAAACTTTTGAACAGCTGGTGGAGAACCTCTTCTCCCTGCCCCTCAACATACCTTTCAGCGGGCTGCGCAAGGTACTGCCGCCTGCCCTGCTCCCTCTGCCTGGGGGCTGGGGCCTGGGACCCGGCGGCACAGACCTTCTGTCCCCAGGCCCACCAAGGGGCACTTCCGATGGCTCAGGACATCTGCAGCACCTTGTTCTGAGTCTGAGAGCCTGGTGTCATGCCCACCCCAGCTGTCTCCTCTTCTCTTTGCACTTCTCACCTGCTCCTGATTGTCTTCCAGCACCTCTGGGCACTGGCTCCAGCTCATTGTACAGCACAGGGCTCCTCTTCTCACTCACCCCATGTGTTTCCTCTATTGGTTCTGGTTAGTCTGTCATGTCCGATACTGTCCCATCTCATCCTGCTTGGACTCATGTTAGTCCATGGCAGAGGGGTTTGTGGGCATGGGCACAGTGCACCCTAGGTTAGTGCTCCCTGTGCACATCAGAGCAGGCTGAGGACCTAAGACCCTCTTATGGTCCTTGGTTTCTTGTCCCCTAGCAGCAGTGAGGCAGCGAGGGGTCCTGGGGGGAAACATGGCAGACAGACAGTCTCCTCTGCCTCTTTCAACCTGCAGTTTCTCCCCTGCTGCCCTGCCCCTCCTTGCCTGCCTCCCCACAATCCTGCTCAGTCCTGTGTCCCACCCCTCGTCTCCCATTTCAGTGTGCATTCCCTCCTCTGGCTTTGGGTTCTCTACACTTGCCACAGCTCAAGTCTCCTGCCCCTTTTAGCCAGGTCTTGCCCAATGTCCCGGTTTCCATTGTGAGCTCTGCCTCATCAGCTCACCTTACCGACCCAGTCCCAGTTCTCCCCAGCCTCCCTGCTGCTCTTCTCCATCAGTTCAAAGCCCTTGTTTCCCCTGTCCAGTTTCCCTTTGCAGGTTGTCTCCAGTGTGAGCTTTCATCCCCCATCCCTTCCTGCCCTCTCTCAGGTCAGTCACAGCCTGTCTGGCCCTAGACCAACTTCTTAAACTTGCATTTAGGTCCCCTTGTCTTTCCCCTTGCTCCCTGCCCTGTTTCCTTTGTCCAGTCCTTCCCACCTCAATTCTCAGCCTTTGTTCTTATTCCAAATATCTGGTCGTGGCAATCTTTAATCCCAAATCTCTGGTCCTTCTGGCTTTTGCAGAAGGCATCTTGATACAGAGCCACACACTTATCTGACTCCATCGATCCTCTTTGCAGAGATTTCCCATCTCTTGATTTGCTGAGATCTTAACTAAATGTTTTGCTGTACAGGAGTGCAACACAACTGGTGATGAGCTGGGTGTGACTGATGTGTCTTTATCTACTATACCCTGGTAAAGCAGCTCATTTCTTCCTGTCTCAGATGTGCATTGCAGATGTGGGTCAGTTTTATTAAGTTGCCTCTTCTTGTCCCTTTGGATGAACTTCTTTTGGCTCTGGTACAACTGTGGGTTTGTTCAACACAGATGCCTCTGGACTCAGCAACATGGGTTTACGGCTGCCTTTTCTTCTCAGAGTTTTCCTGGGGCTTGTATTTGATTCACAACAGCAAGACAACAGAATCTGCAGCAGTTCCCCCCAAACTGCTGCTTTTTGCAAGGCTCTGGGGCTGATTAAACAGTTCTTGCTGTTACAGATTATGGAATTAAACATTGCCACACTTGAGGTCCCCCAATCTCTCTATAGAGGGGGTGGTTCCTAAGGCTCTCCTGAACTATGTCTGCTTCCCACAGGGAATTAAAGCACGGGACATGCTACATGAGTTTATGGAGAAGGCTATACAGGAAAAACTGCAGAGAAACAACACAGAAGATCACAGCGATGCCTTGGATTTCATAATAAACAGTGCCAAGGAGCATGGCAAAGAATTCACCATGCAGGAGCTAAAGGTAAGGAGAACCCCACCTTGCAGTGTCCCTTCTGACTTGGTGGCTGTTCGAGAGACTTGGGCTGAGGGGCAGGAGGGGCATTGTTGGGTACCCAATAC